CATTAAAAAATTATAAATACAAAATTCAATGTTACACTCTTTTTATGGCAGTTTTTGTGCAACATATCACTGCTATTTTTAATGGTAAAGAACAAAAAAATCATATTTCCCAAATAAAATAACATAGATTAAATTCTGGGCCATGTCAATCATGGGAATAAAAAACGATTTTGATGCATTTGAATTCATTTTGATGTGCAAATTTTCCTTATTTAAAGCTCCATTTAGCCGACTTTGTCTCCGAAACAGACATGCAGATAAGTGAAAAAATTTTTTAAACATTTTTAGACTCAAATTTCTTAAACAACTTCAGCCCTAACCATTAAAAAAGTAACAAATAAAAAATTAGATGTTTTACCATTTTTATGCCAGTTTTTGTTCACCGTGTCATATTTATTGATAACGTTCTAATCAGCTGAGTCTATTGGAGCGGAAAAACACAACAATTTCACCTCCATTCCTCGAGCCTCGTTCTCTACCAGATTAAATGTGATCGAATTCATTTGTTCATTATCATTTAAGTTTATATATAGGCATATAAAATCAGGAAATATATGTAAGTTAAGAATCATTTGTAAGTGTTTATCCTCCTCTAACCAAAATCTGACCGTGATTACACTGATATAAAAATAACTGCATATTTGAGATGTGATATCTTCTCCCATAATGATCTGAAGGACCTGTTCATCCTCATGCATGTCCATCCACTCCCTCTGAAGTGAGGACAAAGTTGAAATTGTCCAAATGTCCCCCTCTCTTGGTCCCACACTGCAGAACTTGGACGTCAGATTTTCGGCTGTAAAAACTCACGTCATGCCCGGTTCTAAACATGGACGCAGATTCTCACCCGAGTTGGACGTGGCGACAAAGTTCTACAGGTGACGTTTTTTGTTTGTTTGTTTGTTTTCATATGAAGTAAAATAAGATCTCTCACCAAATTTGATGCCCCGATCTTTAAAACTGTGACTGTCAGATTAAAATAAAGATGAATAAATTGACAGATGTCCTCATGAAGCGAGGGTAAAGTTCGCCTCTTTAAGTCGATTAAAATCTCGTCTCCGGTCGTTCCAGTTTGGTGTTCACACCCTCCACTCCAAAGATTTCTCCGTTTCCCCGTTTGAAACGTGTCGGAGTCGCTCTGTCTGCGGTTCGGGGGAAATGTACCTCAGATTGAAAGATCACTTTGCTTTGTAGCTTTGATGTTCAACTTTAACAAGTCGTGTCTTTCTGCAGATCAAAGCCCAAGGTTTCGCCTCTTCCTTTTTAAGTTACACGCCGACCTCTTCGTCATGTCTTATTATTCTGCAGAAAGCTTTCTCTGTGACAACAGCTCACATTACTCTCACAGACTTCAAGGTGTCTGAAGTACATCTCTGTTTTTTTTCTTTCTTCTGCAGCACAAATGATTCACCTCAATTTTTCTGTCCTCTCTCGTGGCCTGAGGCCTTTTTCACCTTGAGATAAAAGTCTAAAAGAGAAGAAAAGCCCGAGCCATTTTTAAATGGGATTCAACTTTGATTTCTCCCTCATTCGTCAGGGGTTGAGTGGGCTCTTTTTCACCTTTTGTCTTCCTCCAAATGAACACCTTTCATTAACATTTCCTCCGTTCACCTCAGGGCCCCCTGACCGCCTCTCTCCTCTCTCAAACCAAAGTCGATCTCCTCTCTATTGAATAAATCTGCTCCTCTTCCCTTTCACCCTCTCCGTCCTTTATAGGATTGGATGAGGACAGAAAAAAGGAGACATTGTTCTTGCGCTCTTTGGTCAAAGCCCTCAGAGGCTCAAACCTGCAGAAATAGCCTTCACTGAGCCGAGCCAATCACTCTTCATAAAAGGAAAAGTATCCTGAGCGGGATCCTCTTCTCTGGGGCGAGGAGCTTTAGAGTCCCTGTTGGAGGAAATGGATCCTCTCAGTCAGACCGAGAAAAAGCTGATCGGCTCCGGGTCTCATAAAAGGTCTGCAGCCTTCATCAGCCTCCTCTTCATCAGCTCCTACTCCCAGAAATAGATCAGAGATCCTGTCTAACGTATCACATGGACGGTGGTGTTTTGGTCACCAAAATCTCATTGGTTGAACAATCACACGTTACTTTTATCCAGCAGATCCGTAACTGGATGAAACTTTTTTTTACCAAGATGAAAAAAGTGTGTTACTTTTCCTCTCAAAGGGTTAAAGTCCTCCTGGGTCACAGAGACACTGTGGAGATCTCAGAACTTAAACACTGAGACATGTCCGGATGTGGTTCTGGAGCTTTTAACCTCCTGGTGCTGCAGCAACTGGGTCAGTGTTCCACTTCATCCACTGTACACGTCTTTTACAGGATCACAGGTCTAACTGAATCCATAGAAATACGTGGAAATTATATATGAAGATGAAAACATTTCAGACAGTCTGGTTGATAAAAAAGTGGAGCTGGAACAATAAAAATAAAGGGCATGTCTGAAGAAGGATCCGAACCTGACCGTACACGGAAAGATGGATCACAAACACCTGGTAACCTGATCAAAACAACGACTCAAGGACAACCTCTCAACGCACGGAGAACGTCATGAAGCAATTCGCATCTAGGACTTCCTGTTCTCGAAGACCAAGAATCCTTGCGAAAAGAAATGAATGTTCCTTTTCATGGCGATTTCTCGATAGGCGTATACGTGACCAAATATTCGGGTTAGAAAAGGAGTAACCCGGGGGTGATTTTCGGGGTTTATAAAAACAAGAACATGAGCATATTCCGGCGAAGGTACCAGATGTGTTCAGGCTGCCAGATCGTCTCGGGGCCTTGAGATCTTGACGTGAACGTGTCCTCCTCCCCAACACTAGGGGGCGATATGGGTCTTTTCAGCGGCGCTGTTTCCAACCCCATACAACCGTCAACAACAACAGCAGGTCGGTGTCAGACGTCAGAAGTGTCTACAACTGCTGCAAGAAGATGGAGCATCGTACAGCGTTGTTTTTGTCCGACATGATGGACGCGCTACTTTTTCTAAAGATGAGACCAACGCTACTCCTCTACTCTGGGGTTTTCGTTCCAGGTTTGTGGGGGCGTGGCGTACGCGCACATGCATTGTCCAATCATACTCTGGTTACATGGTAGAGAAAATCAAATTCCAATCGCATTATCTGGGTGTTTTAATCGGCGTTCTCAAACTCTGATTATAGTCAGACTAAGGTGTTTACATGACCTTCAGTT